AGTTAGCACAGCAAAGAACAAAAGGCAGAAAAATCATCTGAGCTTAGTCCACAGCAGGTGCAAAGGCAATCTTCACTGGCACACCAATGATCAGATTCTTCCCTGTCCTCATTCACCCTCTCCGGGTAAGGTTCCTGAGTGGGGCACGGTAGAGTTGGCAGGATTGCCAGACGAAGAAATAAAATACGGATGTCCCACGAAGTTTGAATGTCAGATCAATAATGAATCATGCCTTACTGTAAGCAATAGTGCAGACATCCCTATTACACTATACAGTGACTCATGGCTTTTCTGAGATAAAATGTTAACGAGCAGCCTGTGTTTTCTCTGGAACTGACTGGATCCTGTTCCCAGAGGACCAAGCCACGCACCGTTTCCTAGGATCCAAAGACCTGTTCCGAGGCCAAGGATCAGCACAGATCTGGAGGAGGAGGTGGCAGCCAGAGCAGATAAGGAGAGCGAAGAGGAAAGACAGAAGGTAGGAGGATGACCTTATGAGGGCTTGAAGCTGGGAGCAGGTGACTTCTAATCTAATCATCTCCAGTCACCATGGAAACCAGCTGCAAAGTCAGCCAGCTGGAGCTGCTGTGCTCCAACCTCTACTGCCTGTCGGCAGTATGATCAGTCCACGCACCCTTCCCCCACAGCCTACCGTGGTCCGCCCTGGTCTTCTCATCTCAGTTCCTTCCGAGGAGACAGCCTGAACCTACAGTCTCAGACCCTGCAGAGGACACTCAGGCCCTGCCCAGCAAGAGGTCATGTTCTAGCTGGGGAACCAGTTACATAGGAGGCAAAGGCTTGTTGTTCTGTTTTGTTTTGTTTTTTTTTAAGAAAGCAAAATGAAGTCTGACCAAGCTCGTCTGCTTATGCATCTCTGTCCTTCCATGGGTAAAGTAATTCTCTCTAAATCCAGAATGTGATTAAATTGATTGGGAACATGTTCAATCTTTCAGACAAGCCACCGGCTGGCAGGAAGCTGTGCATACAGATGCAGGGCTTGCAAGGAGCATTTTAATTGAGGCTGGAAACTGCAAGCTGTTTGAAGTGAGCAAACTTGCTCAACATGGCTTATACCTTGGGAGAAAAAAATACCCCAAGACAGGATCAAGCTCTGTGTGGATCACGAGAAAAGAGGCACTTATTTATGTATGTAAGAGGCACAGTTACATAGAGGACAGAAGAGACAGAGGCCGACACACCTCTTCATCTACTGGGTCACTCCCTAAGGTCCACATTAAGCCAGCGCTAGGCCAAGCTGAAGCCAGGAGCCTGGAACTTCATCCAGAGTCTCCTACATAGGAATTGCATCCAGGGCCCTCAAGAACATGGGCCCAGGCCCGGCCCAGTGGCCTAGCAGCTCAAGTCCTTGCCTAGAACGTGCCAGGATCCCATAAGGACACCAGTTCTAATCCTGGCTGCTCCACTTCCCATCCAGCTCCCTGCTCGTGGCCTGGGAAAGCAGTCGAGGATGGCCCAAAGCCTTGGGATCTTGCACCTGCGTGGGAGACCTGGAGGAAGCTCCTGGCTCCTAGCTTCGGATCAGTGTAGCACCAACTGTTGCGGTCACTTGGGGAGTGAATCATGGGACGGAGGATCTTCCTCTCTGTCTCTCCTCCTCTCTACATATCTGACTTTGCAATAAAAATAAATAAATCTAAAAAAAAAAAAAAAAAGATGCCCTCCTCTGCTGCTCTCTCAGGCTCATTAGGAGGGAGCTAGATGAGAAGTGGAGTAGCCAGAACCCAAACGAGAGCTCTATGAGCTTCACGGACTATGGCTTAACCCGCCGCACTGCCATGCCAGCCCCCAGAAATGCTTTGAATGCTTAGCCTAAAGCCTGCACTTCCTGCTGGGCAGGACTTGATCCCACCACAACTGCATTGTCTCCAGGGGTCTGCACTTCCACATCTGTCCTCCTCTCTACGTAACAAGCAATGTATATCGCCCCCATTTTACAGAGAGGAAATCGGAGATGCAGGTGATTGAGGAACAGAGTCACTTGGTTGTAAGTGGCAGACCCAATCCAAAGCCCCTTCCCCCTTTCCTAATCAGGGACAAGCTGCACAAGCCTCACTTCTCGCTGGAAGGTTCTGTACTCTGGGAGGTTGTTAAATAAAGGTGTCCGTTTAGGAGGGGACTGGAGGAGTTACTGTTTTGAATTGTGCTCCTGCACCATCAGGCCAGATGATGCCGAAACAGTCACTCACCCTAAATGCCACACAATCAAATAGGAGTCTTTAAAAAACAGATCCCAAAAGATTCCACTTTAAGTCTCCAGGGAAGTCACCTTGGCTCCAACCACTGCAAAACAGGAACGGCAAGTTAGCCATCAGTTCTTGTTCTATTGTTCTGTCTCCTTATTCCTGGTTTACAGAACTCACACTCCAGTAGTGGCCCAGTGGGAGGTCTCATTCTCTTCTGCAGAACGGATTCAGGAATAACACCCAACTGGACCTGTAACTAAGGCCTATCTCTTCCCACACACTTGCCACCTGGAGGATTCCAAGGCAGGTGCTTGGCTGAAAACGGCCTAACTTTGCTCCCTTGTGCAACTCAGATCGTCACATAAACCACTGCTGGCAATTCAGAGACAGTTGCTCCTCCAAGGGTTGAGACCCCTCCCACGCAGGAGGCCGGCCCACTTGCCACTTTTTAAAGGCTCAGAAAGGGAGGGAGGAGGACCTGCCCCATCTTACACCACCCCTCATCTCCACCATCCCAGCCAACCAAATTCCCGCTGACATCTGAGGTGGGGAGTAGGATGTGGGGCTTGGGGTGCTAAGCTTCAGGATACAAGATCTTCTCCCCTAAACTTAGAAGGTGCAGATCCAGGCCAAAACAACATGGGTGCTGATTGGCAAACAGGCTCTTCCACCATGGGAATCTGGATTTCTGAAACTGTGAAGCCATTTTGCATCCAAGACACACACTGAGCTCCATCCCTGAACCGCACCGAGTAACCATCAGATGGATTCTGCAAGGGCTAGGGGATGAACACACTTACTGTGATCCTCTGTTCTCGGATCCATCTCCCATGTACCTGCGCCTTACCCCTGCGCTCATGGTTCCCGTGAACATCCCAGTGTTCACCTGTCCAGTCCCTCCAAGTGGGACAACAGGGACCTGGTGCTCACTGTGGGGCATTGGGGGTTCGTGAGCCAGGTCCCCGTGTCCATGTGATTGTCCCTGCCTCCACTCAGAGCAATCTGCTCCAATCCTTCCAGTCCAATCTTGAGTTCCAGTACCACAGCAAACCAAGCCCACAGAAGTCAAGCTCCCCACACAGGCCTGACCCAGGGAACCCATCGTGTCACCCTCTCCCCGCAGGCCCCTGCCTCTGACAGCACCTCACATCGGCGCCTGGTTGATGGTGTGCTCACCTCCTCCAGCAGCCTTGTCCTGTGTCTCCTCGGGGGACCCCACACTTCGTTGGCTCCGTGTGTATCTGACAATAAATCCTCCCATCTCTCAGGTTCCAGAGGCAGCTGTGTGATGGATGGATGGGCACAATGGCACACTCAGTTCAAACCCGCTGGGTGATGTTGCCCTGGAGGCAGACACAGACCATGCCGCCAGTGACATCATGTCGGGCAGGTGACACCAGCGGCCATTAGTAATGTTTACTTCAGGGCAGTGCCCTTGGCTGGACACGTGGGGCCACAGTGCAGATCCGGGCTGAATGAGTCACCCGGGCCGGTCAGCACTGCCTCCCGAGGGAGCAGGGACTGCCCCAAACAGTCCTTTGGGCTGGAAGCTCTGTTTTGGCCCCAGTGTCTGCCTTTTTGGCAAACAAATGCTTTCCTTTAGTTTCTATGTGTCAAAACTTTTAGTTACCTTTTGTTTGCAAAGTAGAACGAAACAAAGAGCTCTTCCACCCCTTAGTTCACTCCCCAACACAACAGCTGCAGCTGGCGGCCGGGTCAAAGCCTGGAGCCTGGAACTCAATCCAGGCCTCCCACAGGTAGCCGTCCAGTATCTGCTGCTTCCCAGGGTGCCCCACTAGCAGGAAACTGGATCAGAAGCTGAGTGGCTGGGACTCAAACCAGACCTCCTGTCTGGTCCCCCTAGCTCCCTGATCACTGAAGAGAGCCAGCTTAAGGAAAGTTCCAGAATGGAGCGTGGACCCCACATTCACACTCATCCATACCTTTGCGCCACTGCACCGCCATTTCCTCCTCCAGGGACACCCTATCCTGTCTATCTGGCGGCCCACTTCATTTTGTCCAGGACCCCCGCATACACCTTCTCTGTTGGACTTGAAACACAGTGGTCTGAGGCTGGCCTCTGGAGACTCCTTGAGCCTGCAACAGCAATATTTACCAGGCCACGACAGACCAGGGCACGCAGGAGGACGTGCAGATGTCCACTTATAAGGCTCACAGCTATGGACGGGTAGGGAGGTGCGATGCAGGCTGGAGCCATGAGTTAGCACAAGGCGACAGCTGGCGGCGGCGAACCAGCAGCAGGATTTCACAGGCCGGAAATCCTCCGCAAGCTGACCGAAGACGGGTGTCTCCGCCGTGAATGACTCGGGAGCTCGGCATCCGGAGCCGCTGAGGATGAATGCGGGGGCTCGTGCAGGAGGGGAAGCTCCTAAGGATATGCCGAGGTCCAACCGCTCCCCCGCCCCTTCAGGATCCCCCTTGGGTTGGCTCTGCTCTCAAATGCGCCCCTAGCCCCGCCGCCGAGAATGGAGTTCCACGCCATTTTCCTACAAGATGAGGCTGGGGTCCCTGGGGACGCCCCCAGAGTTCCTAGGGAGCCCTGCGGAAAGGAGACGCCTACCCCCGGCGGCTCGTCTGGGATCTCCTCTCCGCCGCACCCCGGCAGCCCTCCCCGGAGCCACCCTCCCGGCCTGAGCACCCCACGACCCTCCTGCGGCAGCACACACGCCACGCCACCAAAGGCGCTCCCGGGGAACCGGGCGACCGACACGGGGCGGGACCAGGCGGGTCATGTGACGCCCGGACCGGAAGCGCTTGCAGGGAGACACCCACCCACCTCCCACCCCCGAACCCCGACTCTCCGGGTGACCCGGACCGGAGCTGCTGCCCGGAGGGGACCCCACATCGGTCGCCATGGCCTGGACCAAGTACCAGCTGTTCCTGGCCGGGCTCATGCTCGTCACCGGTTCCATCAATACGCTGTCGGCCAAGTGAGTCTGGGCCCGCTCCGGAGCGGGGCCGTGCGGGGTCTGCGGGGGCGCCGCGACCCACGCGTGCTTCCCCCGAGCTGAGCCTGATCGGTGCGCGCTGTTCATGACCCACCCATGGGGAGACCCGAGGAATTGCGGGCGGGACCGCGCGCGCCCTGTGCTGGGGGCTCCGAGCCCTGGCTGTGGCATTCGCTGTCCCTGCCTGTCTTCGTGCCTCCTGTGTTTCTACATCTTTATCAAACAAGAGGGTGGGCTGGTTCCTCGGGCAACAGCAGGAGGCCCCGGCCAGGGAGCTGCTCAGGCAGCAGCGAAGAGGGTGTCTTATGGGCCCGACGTGGGAGAGAGGCTTTGGTATTGGGGAGTGGCAAGTGCAAAGTGTGGTGATGAAGCTGGTGGTGAGAGTAAGGGATTCTTGGGACAACAGATGAAGGCAGCGAGAAGCAGGTGTAGGAGGCAGCAGGGAGAGAGAAGCCACAGGCCTGGCAGGCCGCACCAGGCTTTCTAACCTGGGAGAAGGGAAGCCTTGTCCTTAAGCCTGGTGGGAGTGCTAGGCGGTTCAGCCCTGCTGTGTGGAGGACAGTCCCCCCAGGGCTGGAGTCTGAGGACCAAGTCCCCACTGAGGGGGCAGGCATCATCTCCTGTCTGTCATGAGCAGGAAGGCAGCCCCTTACCTTTATCTCTCACTGTCCTTACCCACCTGTGCCTTCAAGCTGGTCTTTCCCACGGTATACATGGCAGGCAGTGGCCTAGCCCAGGGCCAGGGGGGCACAGTAGGCGAGGCGCTGTGCATCCCTCCAGGCCACATGCAAGTGCCTTGCAACTCTGAGGTCACTCTTGGACAGGGGCGGATTCTCATTCGTGGTGCGTGTGCAATACATTCCCGACCTGACATGTCTAGGAAGACAGGTTCGAGAAGCATTCGGCTCAGTGCCTTGGGCCTGAGCCAGGCACCGCTGGTAGTGAATGAGAGAAAGTCCCCATCCCCACCTTGGGGATGCTTTACATCTCGGGGTGCAGGAGGCTGAGGTGCACACACATCGTTGTCACAGTGGCCTCCCCTTCCCCGTGGGAGGGATCTTCATGAGGCCCACCTGTCTCTTGGCTTCATCTCTGGCCAGCTGTGCCTTGTGAAGCACTGTTGTCCTCCTGGGCCCGCGGTCTTCCCTCCCAGAGGTCATGTGGATCAAGTCCCTGGTGACAGGTGGATCCCATCTGAATGCAGCAGAATGAGTCTTCATCCTCAGGTGGCTCCATCAAGTGCCTCTAGAGTAGCCTGGTGTCCTCCAGCACTGCAATTCCCAGAAAGGGTCTGTGTGGCCACTCACTACCCCGATGAAACTTGCTGGCTCAACACCTTTCCTGAAAGGCTCCAAACCGGTCAGGTAGGGAAGCCCGGAGATCATGGGGCCCCTGGAGGCCATCTAGTGGGAGACCCACACCCATCCTTTGATCCTGTGCCCTGCCCTGCAGCCCAGTGTGGGCCCTCTCAAGGAACCTCAAGTGCCTGCTTGCAGCTGGGCTCTCAGCATTTTTCCCAGGGCTGTAAAACCACGAGGGAAGGAATCTGGGGGGAGCCTCTGTGCACCCCTTTCCTGATGGGAGCTGTCCATGTGAGTTTGCATTTCTGGCCTACAGTGGTTAGGGGACAGGCAGACAAGCCTGGGTACAGCAGTCAGTGTAACTCAACTAACTAACGTGCCCTTGCCAGTCAGGCTTTCAGTACGACCCGGTGAATCGTCATAGCCACCCCATAAGGCAGGTAAACTTGTTATCCCTAGGTGAGGAACCTGAGGTTACAGAATGACCCAGTGGCTCTGGCTCCAGAGTCCACATTTGTAAACACCACTGGGAGAGGGAGGGGAGTGAAGGGGAGAAGAGAGGGGCAGGGACTTGTTTAGTAATTTGAGGGCATTTGGAGTTGTTAGAAATCATCCTGATTTACAGGAACCTGTCCCAGGACAAATGGCTTCACTAGGCAGGAGCCTGAGCTGAGCCCTGGGGCTCGGCCTGTTCTCCAGGACTGTGGTACCCACGCCTCCTTCCTCCTCAGGGATTTCTTCTCGCTTGTACACGAACAGGTGGTCCCATGTCCATGGAGATTGTATTCCTTCATGTAATCCCTTCTCCCAGTCCCCTCCGTGGCCCCCTCTTTCCTGTGGGGCCATTCAGCAGGCACCTGCCCCCAGGATTCTGCTGTCCCTCTGCTTGGCTGCCCCCCTACAGCTAAGAGCCCCTGTGGGAGCCTCTTGCACTTCCTCGATTCGTAATGGAACAGGATGCTGCCCTCCTCTGTTTCCCAGTGGACGAGGAAGTACATGTGAGCATGTGCTATCTGCTGGACCACAGGCCTGCTTGCTTCTGCTCACTCAGCAGGTTCCTGCAGGGAGGCAGCCCCACCCCCTCACGGGTGCAGACGTGGGGTGTCACATGCCTGGGAGAAAAAGCCACGCATCAGGCCTCCTCTTTGGTCCTGACCGTGGATCCCAGCAGGACCCTCCCTGGGAAGGAATCACTTCTGCTTTCCTTGGCTCTCTCCCCGACCCCTCCCGTGGGTCGTCTGTCTTGGAGATCCCAGAAGCTATCTGCTTAAACCAGTGCTGACACAGAGGGTGGTGGCCGCTGCAGAGTCTGGTTCATTTAGAGCAGCAAAGTCAGGGCTGGGCTAGGTAAGGCTTAGCCCACCTACCCCACCAAGCTTCGCAGACTCCAGGCCCCCCGCCCAGCCAGGGCATGCCTTAGGACTGGCTGCTCAGGCCCCCTAGAACTCTGTGAAGATCTCACTGCCCTTTCTGTGTTAGCCTTTGCCCTTGGCAGTTCTCCCCATCCTTGGGTTCCACAAACTGGCGTGGGATGATTTTCTCATGGACTTACTGGGCCAGCAGCTGAGGAAGTCTTAAATCAGGAGGACAGTGTGCTGGGATAGAGAGAGCATGAGACTTGAAAACTTTGGAATTAAATGATTTATCAGGCCAGAAAGCCTCAGGCTGCTCAACTATAAAATGGACATGATAAACCGCTACCTCACCTCCCCCCCCAGAAACTGTTAAGATTTTTTTTTTTAAAGATTTAATGTTATTGGAAAGGCAGATCAGATTTACAGAGAGAAAGAGAGGTTGTCCGTCCACCAATTCTCTCCCCCAAATGGCCACAAAGCCAGAGCCAAACCAATCCAAAGCAGGAGCCAGGAGCTTATTTCAAGTCTCCCACATGGCTGCAGAGTCCCAAGCTTTGGGCCATCCTCTACTGCTTTCCCAGGCCACACACAGGGAGCTGGAGGGGAAGTGGAGCAGCAGAGACATGAACCAGCACCCTTATGGGATGCCAGCACTTGCAATGTGAGGATTTAGTCATTGAGCCATCACACTGGGCCTGACCCTGTAAGATTTGTTGAGAAACATTTCCTCATCTGTACAGATGAAGAGGCTCATTCTTTCACAAGGCAGAGAGCAGAGAAGTCCCAGACCTTCTGCTGGTGCCACAGCAGGAAAAGGAAGCTGCTCCTGGGACGCACCAAGCTGGGGACACCAGACTGAATGGCAGAAGGACACACAACCAATGGGCCTGGGCCAGCCCCAGTGGTCACCTCCTCAGCTCTGCCTGCCAGCTCTGACCACCCAGCATGCTGAAGTTGGAGTTTGCACAGGGCCAGGCTCTAGAGTGACTCACCACCCAGCATGGGCTGCCTGCTCCCTAGCCTACCTGCTAAGTTTCCAGAAACTCAAGTGGCCTGACCTGTGCCAGCCAGGGGCACTTCCTCCTGGGGCCTCATGCTGGCCCTCTGGGAGCCTAATAGTCCTCCTGCCACAGCCTTGGGCCCAGGGCATCCTCTGGAATCAATAGCTGCAGCCAGGGAGTTTGAAGAACCTGGAGATGGTCACGAGATAGCTTCTAAGGGTGGAGAACCTAAGGCGTGGTTCCTGGGCCCAGCTGACATGTCCCGTGTCCCTCAGGCTCTCTCTGCCCCCACCACGGCTTCCTCATCCATCATTTAGGAATGTCATGAGCTTATGGCCAACTTCTTCCATGGCACTGGGGTGTTGGGGCAGGTGGCTGGAACCATCCCGGCTGCTTCTGCCTCAGGCTTCAGAGTGGATGGCTTCTCCCAGCCGTTCTGGGTCTGCAGCTCAGCTGTGCTGTGTGGGGCTGAGCTGGGCCTGGGCAGGGGGAGATACTGCCGTCCGGGAGAGGATGGAGGCAGAAGGGATAGAGGAGGACTTGTCAAGTGCTGCCATGTGTCAGCTCCTGCCATAGCTCATTCTACTGACAACAAAGTCCTAGTGTCTCCAGGATCATGCCTGGGACAAAGTGACTCGTGGTTCCTCGCTTTCCCAAGGGTAAACTGTAAGGGCCCCTTAGGCTCCCTGGAGCTTCGGGATCCCCGTGTGTAAAGTGAGGGTCTTTGCTGTGAAGCCAAACAGTGCCCAGTAGAGACCAAGTCGGGAAGCAAAGGACGTTAGGGGACATGGTTGTCATCTCCACATCCCCTGGGGCTGGATTTTGGCTCCTGTGAGACTTGGGGTTGTTCTGAGCCTCAACAATGAACCAGGAGGAGACTGGCTCCTTCCTGCCTATGGAGCCTGCAGGCCTGAGTGGCAGGGCAGCTTGTGCTGCTGACACCCAATCCGCTGGGCTGGGAACCCGCCCCGGGCTCTGAGATACAAAAAGATTCCATTTCCCCAGTGGGAACACTGCCAACCAGGCCTGTCCAGGCAGAGCTGCCTCCCAGAGAAAGCAAAGCCGGCCCTCTGGAAGCCAGGAAAGAGTACAGCCCCAGCCAGCTTCCATCAGGCACATCTGCCCTAGGGAAGCACCAGCGCCAGCCTGTTTCACCAGCAGGGGGCGCCTCTGATGCCAGTAGAAGTCCTGGAGACGTTGCATCTGGACAGCGAACCCTCCCCGTTTGCCAGTGGGATATGAAGTCTCATTTGTCTTCCTATGCTGTGTGCCAGGAGCTGGGGCTGGGAGTGGCTGCCTGACAGCCTTCCTGTGAGCCTCAGGCCTGAGCTGTCCTTTCTCTGAAGTTGTTTAGGCAGTATACAAAGTGGGTTGGTGGAGCTCTGGAGGGGTATCTGTTGGTGGTCAGGGTGTGGCAGGAGGATGAGGAAGTGACCTTCACACTTGCCACACAAGCCCTTCCCTAAAAGTCTTTGCTGTCAGTTTCATAGCCTGGCAGTGCCCGTTTTCTTGCAGCCCCCTGCACTGGCAGCTCCCATGCATGACACGCTGTCCAGCTGCCAGCCATTCTTCTTCCGGGCCCTGGGTAACCCTCATTGTTGTAGGGTTTTTTGACCCCAAATACAGCAGCAACCTCAATTCTTGTCTCGCAGGAATAAAGAGTTTTCATGTGGACCCAGTTTAGTTTTAAAGCAAGATTTATTAGAAAAGTTGAGAAGAGAGGCTCCCGTCCTAGTGACGGGAGGGGGCTCTGAGATAGAAAGGGCCCTTACCCTCTGCCATAGTGGCAGGAAGAAAAGTGAAAAAGACCCTAGTCCTCTGCCAAAGTGGCAGGAGGACAAGTGAAAAAGAATGCCCTAGTGCTCTGCCATAGTGGCTGGAGGAAAAACAAGAAGAACCCGTATTAATGGTGGGGAAAGCATCTTTTAAAGGTTTACTTCAAAGATGTTTCTCCATAAGCAAAGAAAATTCCTGGTTTCCTTGGTACCTGGCCTTGGGACAAAAGGCCAGAAAGGTGTCACTGGCCAACTTCCTTGGTCCCTTTCTAATGATAAAGAGGCCAGTGTGAAGCCCTCCCCCTTGGCAACGGCCAGGAGACAGAGTGGGACTGATGCTTCAGGTCTCCCTTGTCTCTTGGGGAAGTGTGTTTCTAATAAGATATGCACTTGTCTTGGGAGAAACGTGCTCTGGCGAATGCAAGACATGGTGGGGAAAAATATCCCTTTATATTTGAGGAAAAATGATTTGGGGACCCAGAATATCCTAACTACCTACTACCCAGTCTTAACTCCTCTCACATCATCACTCTAACTCACCTCTCTGCTTTGCTCAGCTGCTTCCCCCAGGCCTCCCTGGGGCACTCTCTCTACCTGGGGTAAGGAGCCAGCCTCCTGGGTGAGCTCACACTGGTCTTCACCCCCTACCCTCTCCCTACATCCTGTCCTGTCCGGGGACCCAAGCGAGGCCCTGGTAGGCAGTTGTTTCTCTCCCTCATTGGGCTGACCTGCCCCCTTTAGTGTCAGGCCTGGCTCCAGCCTAGTCCCCAGGCCCTGGCAGGTGTACAGGCTCTGCTCGGCTCTAACCGGCCCCTTCTGAACCCTCACACCCCTTTCTGCTGTCCTTTGACCTCACTCAGAACCACAAGCCACCCTCGCTGCTGCTCTTTCTGTGGCAGAGTGATGGGGCATCTGCCGTGGAACAATATGACCACAGTCCCCGGTCATTCACTTGCACTGGGGTGTGTGTGTGAGTCTAAGCAGAGGTGGTCACAGGTCAGTGCCACCTTCACAGCTGACCAGAAGCTGGCCCTGCCCACTGCCAGGGTCTGGGCATCAAGGCCCTTGTCCTGCACTGCAGGAAAGAGCTTCCTGTTCCTCTGTAAGTCAGGAACACATGGTGGCCGGGGCTGGGCAGACCCTCTGCCAAGCCCAACTCCTATGTGTTTGGCACAACCAGTACACATGCCCATTGATGCTGCATGGGAGGCACAGGCCGGGGGCCGTAATGAGACAGCCCCTGAAGGACAGGTAACAAGAAGGCCCAGGTGTTGCACTTGTGAGGCCAGCAGTGTGGGCAGGTGCAGGAGAAGCCAGCCAGAGCCTCACGGGAAACAGCCCTGCATGTGCATCGATGGCCCCATGGTGTCAGAGCGGTGTCAACTAACCCGAGAAGCCCAGCACAGGGGAGGAGTTACCATCTGACCAGCCCCACACTGGGCCAAGTGACAATCTTGGCTCGGGGCCCACGGAACGGGCTTCCACAGATCAGCAGCCAGCGGAGCAAGAGACTCAAAAGGGCTGGGGCTGCTGAGCCCAGAGATTCGGGAGATGGCCAGAAGGCTCCTGTGTGTCTACAGGGCTTCCAGATGGAAGCTGAGATGCCAGAGTGACCAAGCCCAGCATCAGTGCATCTCAGGAGAAGTTGTCACGCACAGATGGCAGACAGTTCCAGTTGATTGGCAGCCCTGAAGGAGCCCGGGCTGAGCGGGGAGAAGCACCACAGTCAGTTCTCACAGTCTGCCATGGTGCTGGCAGGGAGCTCAGCTCTCACCACCTGCCTGATGCAGTTGCCTCCTGCTGGGCGGTCCCGTTAGGAAGACCTTCCTGTTCTGTGAAGGTTATGTGAAGGTGTGGGGTGCTGTTTGTGCTGTGGTCTTTTCCTGAGCTCCCCCATAGACCAGAGACTTCCTGTTTTCTGAGCTGCAGAGCCCTTTGACAGTCCACTGTAGCCTGTCAGCCTCTTCCCAGAATCAGTTGTAAATGTGCAAGTGAAAGAGCAAAAATTGCAAAGGAAGCCAGTTGAAATGAAATCATCAAGCATTAAAAAAGCAAATTTGGGGCCTGCATTATGTTGTAGACTAAGCTTCCACCTGCGTCTCCAGCATCCCAAATGGGCACTGGTTCATGTCCCGATGTCTCTGCTTCCCATCCAGCTCCATGCTTCCAGCCTGGGGAAACAGCACAGGATGGTCCAAGTCCTTGGGCCCCTGCACCATGTGTCAGACCCAGATGCTCCTGGGTTCTGGCTTTGGGTTGGCTCAGCTCCAGCTGCTGCAGCCATTTTGGGGTTTGAACCAACTGATAGATTTCTCTCTCCTCCTTGCTATAAAATTTACCTTTCAGGGACTAACACAAAGACTCAGTTGCTAATTCTCCACATGCAAATGCCGGCATCCCATATGGGCACCGGTTCATATACCATCTGTTCCACTTCCCATCCAGCTCCCTGATTATGACCTGGGAAGCAGGAGAAGACAACCCAAAGCTTTGGGACCCTGCACCCACGTGGGAGACCCAGAGAGGGTTCCTGGTTCCTGGCTTCAGACCAGCTTGGCCCCAACCATTGTATCCATTTGGGAAATGAGCCAACAAATGGAATATCTTTCTGTCTCTCCTCTCTGTTAATCTCTTTCTAAAAAAAAATAAATAATTTTTTAAAAAGATTTATTTTTATTATTTTTTCATTGGAAAGGCGGATATACAGAGAGGAGAGACAGAGAGGAAGATCTTCCGCCCGATGTTTCACTCCCCAAGTGAGCGCAACGGCCGATGCTATGCCGATCCAAAGCCAGGAGCCTCTTCTGGGTCTCCCACACGGGTGCAGGGTCCCAAGGGTTTGGGCCGTCCTCGACTGCCCTCCCGGGCCATAAGCAGGGAGCTGGAAGGGAAGTGGGGCTGCCGGGACTAGAACCGGTGCCCATATGGGATCCCGGGCGTGCAAGGCGAGGACCTTAACCACTGCGCCACCACGCCGGGCCCAAAATAAATAATTTTTTAAATCTGCCTTTTAAATAAAATAAATAAATCCTTTAAGGAAAGGGAGTCAAGGAGAGATCTTTTATCTACTAGTCCACTCCCCAGATGGCCACGCAGTCAGGGCTGGGGAAATGCCGATGATAGGAACCGCAGATTCGGGCCTGGCACAATGGTTCATGACTAAATCCTTACCTTGCAAGCACCAGCATCATATATGGGCATGTCTCAGCTGCTCCACTTCTCCTTCAGCTCCCTGCTTGAGACTTGGGAAAGCAATAGAAGATGCCCCAAAGCCTTGAGACCCTACACCTGCATGGGAGACTTGGAAGAAGCTCCTGGCTCCTGGCTTCAGAACAACTCATCTCCAGCTTTTGCAGCTACTTGAGAAGTGAACCAGTGGAAGGAAGATCTTTCTGTATCTCCTTCTCTCTCTAAATTTGTCTTTTCAATTTATAAAACATTTTTTTTAATTAAGAAGAAAAGGATCCACAAGCTCCGTCTGGCTCCCCCATTAAGGCAGCAAGGGCCTAAATACTTGGGGCATCTTCCACTACTTCTCCAGGCACATTAACAGAAAACTTGATTGGAAGCAGAGCAGCTGGGACTCAAGCCAGTGCTCTGATATGGAATGCAAGCATCACAAGCAGTGGCTTAACCCCACTACACCTCAACACTGGTCCCAGCCAACACTGTATTTTTAAATATATGACATTAAAAATAATTTTAATAGGTATAAATGGTGCTTCTTGATCCACCAAGGGACTCTAGTGTGATAATGGGAATATCTGATTTCTGGGTGCCAGGGCAGCGAGCCCTACACTGGGGCCGAGCCACCTCATTCCGGCCTCTTGGCGTTGAGCAGAGCAAGAACCCTGTTATGTTCCCTCTGCTGACCTGCCTTCTCTCTGCTGCAGGTGGGCGGACAATTTCACAGCCAAGGGCTGCGGAGGGAGCCAGGAGCACAGCTTCCAGCATCCCTTCCTACAGGTATCTGCTCCAATCCCCTCTTCCCCTGCAAGTGCCTCAGGGTTCAGGCCAGGCTAGGTCCTGACCTCAGGATGGAGTGGCCTCTGCCCTCATCAGTCATCTTTATTCCCCATAACAGGGGCCAGAGATTGAAGGTGGCCCTCTAAAAGGAAAAGGGGGCCAGTCCCCTACTGCTGGCCCACCTGAGTCCTGGAGAGCAGTTGTGCCTCACCATGTCCAAGTGCTTAAAAGAGCCTCCCTTCCATCAGAGATTCCGGGCTCCTGCTGAGCCAGGGCAGTCTCTGTAGATGAAGATATCACATCGCTAGACTGGCAACCCAGAGCTTACAAGTTCAGCCCTGGCCCTAATAGCCAGCAGTATGCTTGGTGACTGTCCATGAGTGTTGGAGACTCTTTGGGCCTCAGTTTCCCCACATGAGGCTTGGTTAGTAAGCTGACCTGGGTGGGTGGTTTGGGGACAGGACTCCATACAGCCTAGGGAGCTTTGGGACAGAGGAAGAGGCAGCCTTGGGAGCACCATAGGGGCTGTTTTTGTCGTTTGGCATGTTGGGGTTGCGGGCAAGCACTCACCCGAGGAGAAGGCTGTACTGCAGTCCCTGCCCAAGGCCAGGCCCGAGTGCCCTTCCAGCTCTGAGGTGTCTGGCTCTCCCTGCTGCAGGCGGTGGGCATGTTCCTCGGGGAGTTCTCCTGCCTAGCTGCCTTCTACCTGCTGCAGTGCAGAGCCGCAGGGCAGTCAGACTCCAGAGCTGACGCACAGCAGTCCTTCAACCCCCTTCTGTTCCTGCCCCCGGCCCTCTGTGACATGACGGGGACCAGTCTCATGTACGTGGGTGAGTAGCCAAGGAGGGCTCCGTGAAGGCCCCAGGAGCTGCTGGTGAAACAGTGCCTCCCTGCCCCTGCCCTGCCCTGCCCTGCCTCGCTCACAGCCTTGTCTCTCTCTTTCACAGTCACACACTGAGGCATGGCACGCCTCCAGCCCCAGGGACCCCACAGGGACACCCAGGCTTTGCCCTCAGGAGCTAACACTTGTCTCTCCTCTCCTAGCACTGAACATGACGAGTGCCTCCAGCTTCCAGATGCTGCGGGGTGCGGTGATCATATTCACAGGCCTGTTCTCCGTGGCTTTCCTGGGCCGCAGGCTGATGCCGAGCCAGTGGCTGGGCATCCTGGCCACCATCGCCGGGCTGGTGGTCGTGGGCCTGGCCGACCTAATGAGCAGACATGACAGTCAGCACAAGCTCAGCGAAGTGATCACAGGTGCGGATGGGGCGGGACCCGCGGGACCCGGCTGCCCGATCCTGTCCTGCTAAGTCCTGCCCAGGAGCCCCACAGCCACAGGCAAGCCTGGCCATAGGCGCTGAGGGCACACACCTGCCCTCAGGGCTATGGGTTGAGTGCAGGGAAGACTGAGGAGGCACGTGGCAAGCAGCCTGAGAGAGCAAAGGAATGACAATAGGAGGCCAGAGGAGGGGTGCTTTGCCCTGTGACAACTGTGCCCGCCTACATACTGCTGGCCTGGGAGGGGAAAGGAATGGACACTCATTGAGCCCAGCTAGGTGTGTTCATCATCATAAGAACCTTCCCGAAGGGAGTCAGGGTTTCCTATTGTACAATGGGGTGGCCCCTGGAGAGTGTCCAGAGCCAGGATGATACCAGATACTTGTGTCTCAAAGCCACCTGCCTCTCTGGGCCTTCCTGGGCTTGGCTCAGCCCTGCCCCGCTGACCTGTCCCTCCTGACTCGGGAATCAGGCATGGCCTCATGGAGCGTGGGGGGCCCTTCTGTCCCTGTGGCCATGATGTCTTCCCCGCCTGGCTGCGGCCCTGGCCTCACGGGCCCTTCTCTTCCCACAGGAGACCTGCTGATAATCATGGCCCAGATCATCGTCGCCATCCAGATGGTATTGGAGGAGAAGTTTGTCTACAAGCACAATGTGCACCCACTGCGGGCCGTTGGCACTGAGGGTATGTGTGGACCCAGGGCCTGGGAGGAGGGCAACATGTAGCATGAACTGCGCAATGAGCAGTGGGGAGGGGATGCTGGGGACCCCTGGGAGGGTGAACCTCCTGCACCTATACCTTCCCCCTTCACCAGATACGAATCAGTCAGTCAGCAGATCGTTTGGCACCTACTGTACCAGGAGCTAGAGGAGGCTAAGGACAAGATGAGCAGGACTCAAGCCCCAGTCCAGACAGAACCCAACCAGGGCAAAGGGCCTTCCCTCCGAGCCTGGCCTGCTTGTGCTACAGCCATGTCTTGTGTACCAAGCATGTCTGAGTCTCAGGCAAGGAAGGTGGCATTCAGACAGGTGGAAGTCAGGAGGAGGAGCCTCCAAACAGCAAAGGTGTGAGTGGAGAGCTGAGATGATTGGTGTGCAGCATAGATTGGATGTTGAGGAAGTAATCCGGAATGAAGTGGGTTAGAGTTATCTTGTGGAGAACCTTAACTGTGGGCAAGAAGATTTAGACTTCAAATGACAGACTAGGAGGAGCCACCGGAGGTTTAAAAAAAAGTGAGTTGACCAAGGTGAACTGTGGGCCGTGGGCTGGAGCCTGACAGTGTCTGCTGGGCCTGGCCCACTACAGGGCCAAGAAGCTGATGGCAGATCATAAATCAACTGAATCCACACCCTCACCAAGCACACTGTACACTTTTTTTTTTCCAGTATTCATTTATTATTTGTTTGACAGGCAGAGAAACTGAATCTTCCATCCCTGATTCATTCCCTAACGGCTATGTGGCTGGGGCAGAGCCAGACCAAAAGCAGGAATCTGAACTCTGTCAGGTCTCCTGTGTGGGTACAGGGGCCCAGAGATTCTGGCCATCTCCCACTGCTTTCCTAGACCACAAGCAGGGAGCTGGATCAAAAATGGAGCAGCCAGGACTTGAACCGGCACTCATGAGATGTTGGCGTTGCAGGTGATGAATTCACTTGCCATGCCACAACACTGGCCCCTCATTTTTACTTTCTAGCAAAACTTCATGATGAAAGCGGCGCCTCAGCTCACACTGTGGTCCCTTAGACCATTCCTGTTCAGAATTAAAGCTGCGTTTTTTTTCCCAAACTTGTGAAAGCAAAGTAGTAAACCACAGTCAATAATTAAAAAAAAAAAAAAACAGACTAGAATTTACAAACGTTAGCAAGCACTGTCCACATTCTGGGAAGCTAGTTAGTGAGTAGACACACACACACATAGAATTTCAAAACCACAGCGTAAAATGTTGTGCATGCTCTCAATCCAGTCGATATCACTGGACTAAAGTAGAGAAGCAGTGATCAGAGCCCGTCTAGTAAGCTAGTGAGACGAAGCCCAGGGTGGGCCGAGGGACCCCAAAGGAAGGAATGGCAGAGATTGGAAGGGATGGAGTGGGCAGTGCATGCCAGGAGACCAAGCAGGTGGAGAATGTGCCACGCCTCTCCCCTCCCCCCTCGCCAGGCTTCTTCGGCTTCCTGATCCTGTCCCTGCTGCTGGTGCCCATGTACTACATCCCCGCTGGCTCCTTCAGCGGCAACCCACGCGGGATGCTGGAGGACGCCCTGGACGCCTTCTGCCAGGTGGGCCAGCAGCCGCTCATCGCCGTGGCACTACTGGGCAACATCAGCAGCATCGCCTTCTTCAACTTCGCGGGCATCAGTGTCACCAAGGAGCTGAGCGCCACCACCCGCATGGTGCTTGACAGCTTGCGCACCGTAGTCATATGGGCACTGAGCCTGGCGCTCGGCTGGGAGGCCTTCCACCCGCTGCAGATCCTTGGCTTCCTCATCCTCCTAATGGGCACTGCGCTGTACAATGGGCTTCACCGCCCGCTGCTGGCCTGCCTGGCCAGGGGCCGGCGCCCCACCGAGGAGGGTGAGCACGAGAGACTGCTTGGGGGCAGCCGGACTCCCATTAATGATGCAAGCTGAGCCCATGCTGGCATCTGCTGCCACCTGTGCCCCTAGATTACCCTGAGGCTGAGGCCAAGCAAGCTAGTGCCTGCCCCCGAGGCCTTGCCCTGCCCCTACCTGCTGACTAACCCCAGAGCAGCAGCCACCACAAGATAACACAACTCCTAAACTCCCAGTCCTTTTCCCCTGCCGCCTGCAGGGTGATGGGACCCTCTCCCTGCAAGCCTGAGTGTGGCAACCACCTCCTGCATCCCTAAGGCTAAGCGAGAAGGACTGGGGAATCTTCAATTAGACTGTCATAACAGATGGTCCAGTTTATGGTTCATGGTGAGATTGGATTGTCCAAAGCAACAAGGCCAGTGAGGCAGCCAGAGCTGAGCACGGCATTTGCTAAAACTCCTGAGAGACCCTCCCTGACCTTGTCCCTATCCCTGTGGTTCCTCCCAGCCTCTGCCACATGGCCCCGAGCAACTCCCCAGCACAGTACTGGTAGATCTGGAAAGCAGCTGTCTGTTGTGCAGCCCAGCCTTCCTGAGGGCCTCAGATCTGTGCAACCTGTGTCTGGGAAATGCCCCCGGGCCCGCCCTCTTCCATGCTTGTTCTGCCATCCTTGCTCACATACTCAAGGCCTCCCTGCCTGGAGACCAGGGTTACCAGGAACATGGCAGGCAGCCCTTCTTAATTATCCATTCCCCCCTTTTCCAGTCCATCTTAAAGAAGCACAAACAAAAGCCAAGAGTTCTAAATTGTTTGCCTCCTAAGGGAGCCCAAGACCATACAGCTGTGTGGTGCTAAGACAGACTAGGATGTAGAATGTGTGGCTGGATCCCAGCAACGTGGCTGCTATGCAAGCCCCCAGGTGCTGGGTGCCTGGGCTCCCCACCACCCCAGGGTCCCTCACATTGTGTGAGTGCATTCATGTTCTTCACAGTCTTCAGAGGTGAGCCTGGGTGAGGCCTCCACAGCCCAGAGGAAGTTCTCAGAGAATTCCCAGGGAGCTATAATGCCAACCCAGTTTTCCAACTTGCAAACCAGTGGTCCCACCTACCACATGAGTCTCTGGGGCTCTGCAGCTGGGCCAGAAGCTGGAAGCGCAGGTGTCCTCCAGCCTCCTCCATCCCAAGAGAAGGATGGCAGCTAGGAACCCTGCCCACCCTGGAACAGGAATGGGAATGTTGCCTGCAGCCATTTGTGCTTGGCAGCTCAGTCTTCCAACACCCAATGCCTTCCCTACAGTAGGCTCCAGGGCCCTGGGGTGTGTGGGGTTGCAGCAGGCTGCAGCTTACCAGGGGAGGGTGGCCTTGCCATCCACTAGTTTGAGTCCCAGGATTTTGTCCAATCCATGGTATGTGTCACAGGAAGGAGGATGTAGACAGTGAGGATGGTGGGACTGCAGTGAACTTGCCTGTAAAACAGAGGCCTTGGCATGTTGTTTTATACTTTAAAGGGGGGGGGGATAAAAATTAGAAATATTGGACTGCTTTAGTACTGTCTTATTTATTATTTTATTTGAGAGAAACAAATAATTGGTTCACTCCTCAACTGCCTACAACAACCAGGACTGGGAGGGGCCAAGAACCTGGAACTCAGTCCAGGTCTCCCAGGAACCAGATAGCTTGAGTTGTTGCTTCCCAGGGTCTACAGTAGCAGGAAGCTGGAGTCAGTGGCCCAGCCAGGTATTGAACCCAGATACTCCAAAGTGGAACACGGGTATCTTAACTGACATCTTAACCACTAGGCTTAAATGCGTGCCCTCCTACTTTTGTTTCTCCTTTCTTTCTTTCTTTCTTTCTTTCTTTCTTTCTTTCTTTCTTTCTTTCTTTTCTTTCTTTCTTTCTTTCTTTCTTTTAAAAAAAAAAAAAACAAAAGCAGTATATTGAGTGCCCAGGGGTGGCATCTAGAATGCAGGAATGCAGTGGGAAAGCTCTGCTGTATACAAAGCATAGAAAGCATTCGGGCCTCTATTCCCAGTCAGACAAGAGGAGGGAACTGCCCAGGCTCACAGCTGAAGGCAGGCAAAGCCGAGTTCCTGGCTCTTGGCCCTTGCTCAGCTCATTTGCCAAAACCTTGCATGGGACTGCTCTTGGGCATTTGTGTTATTCTTGGTTCTGCAAGAGGTATCGCCAATTAGTCGGGCATTCAACACCCACTGGCACTGTCTTGCCTTTGCTTGTTACCACTGGGCTTTCTCCAACCTTAGCTGAGGACCAACATTCCCACTGTCAACTGTGGAGGATACCCAGATCTCTAACCTTGACATTATCTCAGTACTTCAATGCATTTCAGTTTACTAAAAAAAAAAAAGAAAGAAAGAAAAGAAAAGCAAGCAAGCAAGCAATGGAAGCTGCAAGTACTGATATTAGTGATAAATGCTGACCTCATCAACAACACAATCCACCAAAACTTCCCATGCCTAGTAAAGCCAAAGAACCTGGAACTTCAACAGAGATGCAGAGGACAGCCTCTCTGTGGTCAGCACAGAGGAAGGGAAGAAATGGCACTAACACATAGGAGTTAGAGCCACAGATAGTGCCCAAGAGGCAAGAGAAGCAGCTAGCATTCACAGCGGCAGTTAGCAACTCGCTTGGGCTGCCTATATGCCATATCCCATTGTCTGGTTTGATCCTGGTGGCTCTGCACTTCTGGCGCAGCTTCCTGCCAATACCCACCTGACTCTGGCTGGGCATGGCCCCCACTATTGTGGGCATCTGGGGAATAGAACTAATAGAGGAATGACCTCTGTTTGAAATAAAATGAAAATGAGTTAAACAAGAATAAAAGAAGCTTGATGTCAGCTCTGAGAAATGAACCCTATCAGTAAAATGTCATTCAACTGTAACACAGTTGACTTTTTTTTAAAGTCTATTTTTTTTAAAAGATTTATTTTTATTATTTTTTATTGGAAAGGCGGATATACAGAGAGGAGAGACAGAGAGGAAGATCTTCTGTCCGATGATTCACTCCCCAAGTGAGCGCAACGGGCCGATACTATGCCGATCCGAAGCCAGGAGCCTCTTCCGGGTCTCCCACGCGGGTGCAGGTTCCCAAAGCTTTGGGCCGTCCTCTGCTGCTTTCCCAGGCCACAGGCAGGGAGCTGGAAGGGAAGCGGGGCTGCCGGGATTAGAACCGGCGCCCATATGGGATCCCGGGCGGCAAGGTGAGGACCTTTAACCACTTGCGCCACCGCGCTGGGCCCTTAAAGTTTATTTTTATTTGAAAGAACATAAAAAGGAGAAAGACAGAGGTCATTTACCTGCTACTTCACACCCCAGATTTCCACAAAAGTCTGGGCTGGGGCAATCCAAAGCTAGGAGCTGCAAACTCCATCTGGGTTCCCCATGTAGGTGACAGGGACTCGGTCCTTAGTTGTTTCCGGCTGCCTCCCAGGGTGTGTGCATGAGCTTGAAGCTCAATTGCAAGTGGAGGCACAACTCTCCCAGGTTCTCGGAGGGTGCTGGCATCCCAAGTAGCAGCTTAACGCACACTGCCACAACACCCATCTCCACACTTATATATGTGCTCGAGAGTGTAGCCCTTATCAAATAGTGACCTGGACACTAGATCAAACACTCCTGAAGACACAGACTGACTCTTCTTTGCATCTCCCCAACTTGCCTGCAGGCAACTTGGCAATTTTAGATAGAACAAAGCAGTATGAAGAGATTCATAATACACTGGAATCGTTAAATTTTAGAAGTATTGTTCTTCCCCTTTTAAATAAATGATGCTCAGTGGAGGAGTTTCAGCGTGGAGAAGTGCACAGGGGAAGGTAGTGATGGAAAAGTCTGAGAGCCAAGGATTTCTGAGACCCGACAGAAAGCCACCGCTGGGCTAGGTGTGACCACTTGGTGTCCTACCACACATCTGGTGGTGGCCAAAATGCTAATTCCAGGCCCTCCACACCTCTTTGATCTGATTCCCCAGGAACATGGGCGTCCAACCAACAGCCCCAATCACCGTTGCCACAAGAGAAGTCTGCAGAGGGCGGGGAACATGCTTTTGGTGGGGGCGCTTAAGGGAAGTAGAACTTCTGGTGAGGGATTGGTGGCTCCCAACAAAGGGAGCTCCTGGAGGCCCTGCTGTGTGGTACCTCTCTCCAAATGGCAGTGCCGAGCACGGAGCAGCCACGAGACTGCTACCCAAGAGGCCAGGCAAAAGGTACAGGTCCAGCGTGCAATGTGCAAGAAGTTGGGCTTGTTTCTGAGCAGCTCCTGACACTGGTTCCCATGGAGACTGACCCATGGGCCTGTAGGCTTCTCCTCACCACCCAGAGGGGAAACTGTTCAGTAGCTGCTCTCCTCCCAGACGTGCTAAAAACTGACACCCTCCCCCACCCATCACGGACAAGAGCACACTGAGCAGCAGAACTGAGTGGTTCAAGCCTGACAGCTCCTCTGTGGATGCTGGGACCCGATCCCAGGCACCCCATCATGTAAAACATGTAAAAAACATCACCACCCTGGACAGTGCTTTCCATCCTGTCCTTCTGAAGTAACCGGTGCCTTGGAGGACAAACAGGAACTGGATTGGGGGCATGGTACACAGTCCGTCATTACCTCTTAATCTATTATTTACTCTCAATGCGAGGACAGGGCAGGCGTTGACACAGCAGTTAAGGCACCAGTAAAGATGTCTTGTCCTGGACTGGTGTTGTAGCTTAGTAGTCTAATTCTCCATTGTGATGCTGATATCCCCTACAGGTGCCAGTTCAAGTCCCAGTTGCTCCCTGCTGGTGTGCCTGGGAGGGCAGCAGAGGATGGTCCAAGTAGTTAACCCAAATTACCGGAAGACAGATCTGACGGTAGCTCCATAAATGTAGTGAAAATACAAAACACCAACCAACCAAAAAAAAAAAAAAACCTTCTCTCCTGCCCTTTCTTCTTTAGCTCTGTTCCTATTCATTTTATTGCAATATAGTGGACATACTACACAATAGCCGTCTTAGCCATGTTGAAGTTTGTAGTTCTGCGGCACTAAGTGCCCTCACATCCCCTCCATCCCTCTTCAGAACCTTCCCACACAGACCCAGCAGGATTCTCCATCACCCCTCCTGCACCCAGCTCTGTGAACAGACCACTCGGACCCTCGTTCATCCGGACTCCTTTGTGTCTGGCTTATGCCACACAGCAGAATGTCTTCAGGAATTGTCTTTATTTTTTTATTTATTTATTTTTGATAAAGGCTCATTTTTTTCTTTATTGAAAGTTCGAGACATAGTATTTATATATCTCTTCTGGCTCACTCTCGCAAATGACTGCAATGCCTTCCAGGACTGGGCCAGGTGGAAGGCCAGGAGTTCTGCCTGGGTCTTCCAGGGGGGTGACAGGGGCTCAAGCAGTTGGGCCATCCTTGGCTCCTTTTGTTAAAAAAAAAAAATATTTTTATTGCAAAGTCAGATATATACAGAGGAAGAGAGACAGAAATACCTTCTGTGCAATGATTCACTCCCCAAGTGACCGTGATAGGTGGTGCTGTGCAATCTGAAGCCCGGAGCCTCTTCCGGGTCTCCCACGCGGGTGCAGGGTCCCAAGGCTTTGGGCTGTCCTCAACTGCTTTCCCAGGCCACAGGCAGGGAGCTGGATGGGAAGCGGGGCTGCCAGGATTAGAACCAGTGTCCATATGGGATCCTAGAGTATACAAGGCAAGGACTTTAGCCACTATCCAAAGTGCTGGACCCCGTGGCTCGTTTTCCTAGGTGTATCAGCAGGGAGTTGTGGTCATGGAGCAACCTGTCCTCTTTTACACAAGATACTATGGCAAGCAGGGGCTTAACCCTCTGTGCCACAACACAGGCCGTGGTTCATTTAAGTTTTTGGCATGAGTTTCTGTCCTTTTTAAGGCTGAACCTGTCCATTGTAGAGACCACGTTTATTTACCCACTCTTTTGTTGGTGGTCATTGGGATTGCTTCCACCTTTTAGCTCCTGTGAATAAAGCTGCTGCAAACACGGGTGTGTGCCCGCCTTCAGTTCTTTGGGATGTGTAGCCAGAAGCAGGACTGCTGGATCGCGTGGAAATCCCGTTTCTTTTATTTCTTCAGGGTCCACCACCCTATTTTGCAAAGCAGCTGCACTGCTTTTATGTCCCCATCAGCATCCCCCTCCCGCCGAGCGTTCCGTGAAATCACTGCTTTTCTACAAATTTTCCTGATTACTGTGCAAGTTCATTGTAGCACATTTTGGAAAACCCAAGAAAGAAAAATGAGCAAATTAAAATTCTCCACGCACCAAGACATGACTGAAATTCATACTATTCTCTACGGAGCAGGGAGAGAACGCTCCCTTTTGGGCGCCATGACTCTAGAGACCCCATTTGCAGAGACCCTCAGAACCTGGCCGGGCCCCACAACCTTCATCATGTGCCCCGTGCACACAGTGAAGCCACCTTCGGAGCCTTAGTCCCGCGAGCGAGGGCCAAGAGGCACGACTGGAGGCTGCCACGGCCTCTGCAGGTGTTAATTATTTAAAACAGTGGTTGAGTTCTAGTTCTAGTTCATACGATATTACGATATTTTACGCGCAGCTAATTCCTGCAACCTGGTTCTTTACCGTGGGGGGGGGGGGGACGGGGAGAGGCTGGAAGGGGGAGAGTTACAGAAGAGCAAAGAAGAAAGACAGAGCCTCACCAAGGGGCCTTTCTGTCTGCCAGGTATGGGGGGTGGGGATTGGGAGGGATTGACCGCAGGCCCCTGCAGGTGATTGCCTAGGGATGATTGGTGAGTGGGTGGGGTTGGGGAAGGGGCTGGAAGATTAGGGGTGGGATTCTTAGGTGGAATGCCAGGTTACATCTGATTGGTGGATGGCTGGACTGGCGCGAATTTCGTGAGCTGTGAAGAAGGAATGGAGCCAGGTTCAGGGTGGGATATTCGAATAACTCCTTACAGCGGGCCTGTGGGATCATCCCGAGTGTCCAGCGAACAAAACCTGCAGAAACGGATTCCGCAAAGGCACCGCCCAAGTCTACCCGCTGAGATCAAAGGTCACCCCAGGACACCCGCCCCTTCCCTCAAGAGCCGCCACTCCCACCCACAAGGCAAGGCCTGGGGGAGACCCCGCCTCTCTCTACTCTGCCAGGTTTCCATTGGCTGACTGGGCCGTCGCTCCGTCGTGTTTCCCCACTCTCTGCCTATCAGCGCCATCATCGGTGTCTCAGCTCGTGCTCTCATTGGTCGTTCCCACGGTCGCTCTACCAGAGTCAGCCACTGGGAGTCGCTGGCTTGGGGTTTTAAAAAACGCCTGTGATGAAGTAAGTAGGCGGAGCGGGCGATTTGAACCTGGAAGCGTATCCGGCTACAACCAAAGCCGCACTCCTCGAGACACGCGCCTGTGCCCGTTCTCTGCTGGCGCTGGCCTTTCGCACTCCCGGGCGCGTGCCGGGAAGTCCGTCGGAGTAGAAGGAGCCGCGGGGCCGGGCCCCTGCGCGGCCTGCCATGGGCCCGCGCCGCCGCAGCCGCAAGCCGGAGGCCCCGACGAGGCGCGGCGCGAGTCCGACCCGCAGCCCCCGGAGGCGGGACGTCTCAGGTAACCCCCGCGCGGCCCTGCCCTGCCTGGCACCCAGCGAGGCTCGCTTGGGGCGCCCGGACCCCCGCCGTCTTTAAGCTCCTAGCAGACCCGTGGCGGGCACGGCCAAGGGCTGAGGGAACCAGTTCTGAAAGGCGAGGTGGTCAGCCGCGGGGCTGGCTGTGCGGAGCGCGCAGGTGCAGACCAGCCCGGGCACTGGAGCACACGCGTGCAGCCGGCGGCGCAACCCTGCTGGGCAGAATTCTTCCTGCCTTCACTGAGTGGCTGTGTTGGGCCTTGAATCGAGTCACCCTGAGCGCCCACCCCGACCCCTTCCGGGCTCTGTGTCCAAATAAAAAAGCTCTGAGTCTGTGGCCTTTGGTTTCTGTGCTGTGGTGGGGGAGGCATGGAAGGTCCCCTCCGCCCCTGTGTTGCTGCGGTCCTGTATCTGCTGGCGACAGCAATTCCCTTCTAGCTGAGAGCATAGTGGACAATATGTGTTACCGGTTATTACCTACTGTGGGTGGGGGGAACATTTTTCTTTCCTGACACCTCAGTATTTGTTGTCTTTGGCCAACCTCTTTATTAGACTGCTATTTATCTTACTCATGCCATTCGCAACCTCTTTTCCAAACTGACACATTTTACTGCTTCTTGGGTAGTATTGGATCCTGAGATTCGTATAATAAGAGCAAAACTGTGGTCGTTTTTTTGTCTTGTTGATGGTTTTATTTATTAAAGACTTTATTTGCAAGGCAGAGTAGTAGAGCGCGATCTTCCATTCACTGGTTCACTGCTGCTGCGAATAAGGCTGGGCCAGGCTGAAGCCAGGAGTTCAGGGCGCCCACGTGGGGGACAAGGACATAGGCGCTTGAGCTGTCATCCTCTGCCTTCGCAGTCCTGGTAGCGGGGAGCTGGGTTGGAAGTGGAGCAGCCGGGACTGGAACTAGCATGCATCTGGGATGGGAGCAGCCCCTGTTGGTAATTTTAGCGGAAACAGTAAGTGCGATGTTTGTGCTTGCTGGCCAGTGGAGGCAAATACCTCTTCTACTCCTGGTTAAATGAAACTGTTATCTCAAGTGAGCACGCCACACCTGGTGGCCCCAGTGTGAGAACTTGGCTTTTTCATTCTCCCCACAACTGTTCTGTATCTTTTCCTCTTTGGCTTCCAACAGCTCCGCCACTCCATTCACTCTCAGCTACTGGTGGCCTTGTGGGGGTGTAACCCTTCCCAAAAGCCTCTCTCCTATAGGAAGGGCTAGGGTGTGTGTATATGTTTGTGTGTGCGCGCACACACACTGGGACCTTCTTTCTCAGGTTCTCACCAGGACCCGTGGGAAGAGCCCAAAGGACAATGAGCAGTTAAGGACAATTGCAGGCCACATGCTCAGCAGGGGGACCAGGCAGCCCATGCTGAGCTGAATGTGGATGGCATTCTGTCTGTGAGACAGCCAGGTCCCTCGAGGCCACAGAGAGGCCATCGTTAACCACCGCCCAGGCCACCAGCACCTCCCTACTTGCCAGGTCCCCTAGTCACTCCTACCATGGAGCCATCAACCTTCTTGGGAAGGAGGATGTGTCCCTGTTGGAAAGCGCAAGGCCACTGCATCAGATCCACATCCAGATGTTCTGAGTCACCCTCTCCTTGAAATCTCTGCACCCTGGGCGGCCTAACCACACCCGCTCCCTGGGCTGCTCCCTGCAGCTCTACCTGTCTGCCAGGCACCTGCAGCCCCACACATCACCCCATGTCCATCACAACTCTTAAACTTCCACATGCATCTGACCCCTCCATTGATCCTGGTCCCCTGAGATCCAGCTACCTGTTTACCTGAGTGAGTGCTCCTAGGTGGGTCCCACCAACATATTCAAAGACAAACTCTGGAGGACTTCCCTCCAGCCTCTTTATTCAGTTCCCCCGTTTTGGTAAATGGTCCTGCCACCCACCGAGTGTGCAAGCCAGAAACCTGGGAGAAGCCTTTTCTGTCACCCTCATGTGTGGTCCAAATGCAGATTCAAGCAGACTGCATCCTTCATCACTCCACCTGCCTCCATCTCTACCCCTAGCAGCCCAGGCCCAAACCCTGGACCCAGTGGTCCTCTAGAGGGCCACTGTGGAGCCTCCTGACCAGCACTCTGCTTCCATTCTGGTCCCTAGTTCCTGCTCCCCTGGGCGGTGGCCACATGATTGATCTTTAACATCACAGTAGATCCCCTCTCCCTCTTCCCCAGCTTCCTGCAACTTTGGCATTGAATCTTATCAGGATTAAATCCTTTTGTGAGTTATTCAAAACCTAACTAATGGCTTTTCTAATTTTTCAAATCTATCTGAAAGGCAGAGAGAGAGCAAGTTCCTATCCACTGATTCACTTCCCAAAAGCCTGCAATGACCAGGACTGGGTCAGGTCGGAGATGAGAACGGGTTACTCAGTCCCGGCCTCCCCCCATGGTTGACAGGGGCCCAGCCACTTTATGTTACCTGCTACCTTCCAGGGTGCACGTGAGCAGGGAGCCAGAATCAGGTGCAGAGCTAGAACTTGAATCCAGGCACCCAGTACAGCACTGCTGTGCCAAACACCTACACCCTGCATCTTTAATCCAGGTTCCTTCCCACAAGCTCTTTCATTGGCTGTTTATCACTTGTGCTTGCGTCTTAGATTTTTTTTTTTCCTTTTACCTATTTTTCTTAAAGGCTCTCTGCTTGTTAACTCAGATTCCTCTGCTGTTGGTTATTGTTTGTTGAGCTTGGTTCCTTTTGCTCATGGTGCTCTCTCCTAAATCACTTGGTGTGACCTGTCTGTCTATGAAGGCTGCCTCCAGAAACCAGGTTGTTGATGGGTGTAGAGGGGGAGGCAGGAGCGTGTGGGTCCCTCCTCTTCCTCTTAAATAATCCCCTGAATCAAAAGTAGAGCTGGGGGAGCACCAATGTTATGACATGATTAATTAAGCTATTGCCTATGATAGTCTGCCCTCATGCTAGAGTGCCTGGTTCAAGTCCCCGCTGCTCTGATTCCAATCTGGATCCCTATTCATGTGCTTGGGCTCCTGCACCCAAGTGGAAGTCTGAAGGGGGCTTCTGGCTCCTGGCTTCAGACTGGCCTGGCAATGGCTGTTGTGGCCATTTGGGGGAGTAAATCAGCGAATGATAGAGATTTTAGTTGAATTGGTTGCTACCTTGGGGCTGTTTTTCATTATTTTGTTCTTTGTTGTTGTTGAAACCAATATTTGGATCAAAGACACTGACTCCGTAGCCAAGTGCCTACCACTGACCATGAGGCACTTATGAAGTCACCATCGGCCACTGATGTGCTCTGGCCAGCCACCTTCCTTCACCAGGCCTCAGCAGAATCAGGACAAGCGACCTGTTCTAGGTGATTTCTCAGAGTCCTTCCAGCTGCTAAATAAAAAATCTGAAGCCCAAATGGTTGAGTTGGCAACCTGGAAGGGAGGGGCTTCCTAGCAGAAAGCCCTGAGCTGCAGGGCAGCTCCCATCTGACAAGTGTCCATCTCACACCTGTGTACCACCTTCTAGTTGCAGTCCAGCCCGCTTCTGGTCACTCTTAGCCACCCTGATGCCATGCTTTTGCAGGGACCCCTTCTCGGATCACCCGGCGGCGGCGGCAGTTCGCATGGCTGAAGGAGATGCGGAAGCTGCAGAAGAGCACAGACCTGCTGTTGAGGAAGCTGCCCTTTGCCCGCGTGGTGAGCACCAGGGAGCCCCCGTCTGGGTGTTGGGGACCCCACTATTAGTTACATGGCAGAAGGACACCTTCTCTCACCTGCCAGGGGCTTAGAGCATCTTCAGGTTTTGAAGCTGTCTGTGGTAATAGGAACACTGTTGTCCATCAGCCCATTGGTCTCTTTCTTTGCTCTGAGAGATTGTTGCTTTATCTCCCTTCTACCAATTAACTGCACTCCTTCCCAGATGGAGTGACAGGTTCCTTGGAGACTCCTGGAGAGAGCCCATGTTTCCATGCATCTCCTCTGCTCCTATTTCCTGCCCTCCCCACTCCTTCACAGGTCAGAGAAATCGGCACTAGATTCACCCGGGGCGTGGACTTCAACTGGCAAGCCCAGGCCCTATTGGCCCTGCAAGAGGTAAGAAGAGACCGAGGCATAGCCGGGTGAGGCTGTGGGGTTTGGGAGAAGCTGACGTTCTAGAAGCCCATGCACCTGGCTGCAGCCCACCTCCTTGAGGGGCGGGAGACAGTGGAATTGCCAGCAGAGTCCAGTTTCCTGTTGTGATCCATCCTCCTTCAGGCCTTCAGCTCCTGGAGGTGAAGGTCAGCAGGTGCCCAAAGAACAGCGGCCACGCTCCCCAGACTCCCGTGTCTGCAGTGTCACCTCCATCCTTTTCTGCCCACAGGCGGCAGAAGCGTTCCTCGTTCACCTCTTTGAGGATGCCTATCTCCTGTCCTTACACGCCGGCCGAGTTACCCTGTTCCCAAAGGATGTGCAGCTGGCCCGGAGGATTCGCGGCATTCAGGAGGGCCTTGGTTGAGGCAGCCTTCCTGCCCCACCCTGGAGAGTGAGCACACTTGTGGGGAGCACGCAACTCTCGGACCCTGGGGTGGGGAAAGCTCCCTTCTTGCTTGGCCCCTCGCCAGCTCACCTTCCCTCATTCTCCGGGAAAGGTCTGGCCTGGTGCTGACTTGACGGCCTGCGTGTCTACCCTCCATACAGCATCTTATGTGTATATCAGGCATCGGGCAGGTGACCGAGTCTCGGGCATAGTGGAGCATCTCTGTTTTACAAGGACTGGATGGCTTCATTCTGACTAGGAGATTTTGCTTGTTTCTGAAAAGTACCTCGTTAGGAAATGTGATGCCTACATTTCAGGGATGACACCGGGGACTGTTTGAAAGACAAGCGTGGATCTGGGGTCCTATTGCTGAGCAGGGTGCCTGGATGTTGCTTCATTTATTTTAAGAAGCACACATCCTGGCTTTCTTCTGTAACAGGGATACCACAGGAGGCAGTCAACATAGTTCCAGAGGCCTGGCCTTTGTTTGGGGACAATCTTTGTCCAGGTCAACTTTGGCTTGTGAATCACACATCGGATCAATTAAGGACTTTGAAGACATCAGATTGGCCGTGTATGGGAGAAGGATGTTGGCTTGCTTCTTGTTCTGCGCGTTTTCTACCCATGTATGTTTGCACTCTGAGAACCTACAGAAAGAATCAGAACTCGAGTCAGCTGTGTGGAAAACCCAGCCCTTGCAGCAGGCAAGCCTCTGCCTCATGGATCCGAAGTTCCGTGTTCAGGTTCCTTCTAGTAAACTTCTTTCCATTCAATAGTTCTAACTCGCAGAATTTAGCATTTTCTTCTTACTTGTAAATTATGAAAGATGTATCATATCAATCCGTGATTTTAAAGTGCTTCAGTGTTTTGATGAGTGTTTTTAAGCTTATAGCTTCTTTGCAGAGATAATAAAAATAACTTTAAAGCCAAATTACTTTTTGCAACGTAGTAGTTATGTTGTACTTAGTATAAATTAAATCAAATTCTTCATTTGGACACTGCAAACAACTGTAATCTGTTTTTTAATATTTATTACAAGTATGAAGGGTTTGCAGACTCGTGTTGGCTTCCAATTCTGATTAGGATGGAGAGGGTTGGAGTTGGAGGGAGGGTGCATGAGATAAACGTGTCCAGTTTCCCTCCTGTGGAGGATGGGGGGAGCAGGAAGGAGCGTGCCACTCTCACTGTCACACTGCACCGGCACCGGGGAGGAGATCGTAGTTTGAAGCCCAGTGTGGATGTGGGAAGAGTGTTCCAAGGGTGTACTTGAGTGATTTTGGTGTTCTGAACGGTTGTCTGCTGTATTATAGCAAAGGTGTGGAATTCTAAAGCCTTATGGCTGTCCTTGTCTACTTCAGTGTGCCCACAGACCTAGGCACCTGTTGTAGAGCCTGGCCTGCAGTGTTGTTCAACCTGTCCTCCTTTCCATCTTTGATGAGGTTCTCAAAGTCTTCTGTTAGCTTCGATAAGTAAATAGCCATAATTTCAACAAGAGCATTGAGGGGGGAGATTTTTGCCTCCAGGGAAGCAGAGGTGGGAACAAAGCCTTGTCCTTCTGCCATCACTGAGAGCAGTTGGAAGGTTTCTGAAGAAATGAGAAGAGCTTCCTGAAAGGCTGGGGGGTCTGTGTGTGGTGGGAAGTAGAAGCAAGTGCAGCTGACTAACAATAATGTGTTGGTAACGGAGCTCAGAGGCAGACTGGAGGAAGCCCAAAGTTTCACTGTGAAGTCACTTGTAATCCTTTGTAAAAACCTGCCTGCTGACATGATGTCATAGTGTAATGGAGCTCATCTACCCGTGACTCATCAGAGTGTCACTTTCTCTAGATTTTTCTTTCAGCTGATACCTTGCCATGAGTCATGCTGATATGCCAGGTGGGTTGTGTGCTCTGAGCACCATGTGCTATTTATGTAATAACAGAATACGTCAGTTCCACCATGAGATTATGTAATGTCATTATAATTTATTGTAAATTTTGAGCACTTTTGATGCTTTTATGCTTTTTTAAATTAATTAATTTGAAATTAGGTGAAATCGTCCATCCACTGGTTTACTCCCAAGCCAGAGTTGGGCCAGACCGAAGCAGGAACTGCGACGCCAGTCCAGGTCTCCCATGCAGGTGGCAGGAACCCTCTACTTGGGCCGTCACTTGCTGTCTCCCAGCAGTGGGCTGCTAGGGTCCTTGCGGTAGGTGTGGATGGCACAAAGGTGTGAAGAGAACAGCTCCCCTGCTTGGCAGGGCCCGGGGGAGCTTCCAGCTGTTTGGCAGGGCCCGGCGTATTTCTCTCTGACCACCCTGACGCTGTTTCACCCCCTGGCTGCATGGACACTCAAGCACCCCACTAAGAATTCTGTATTCTTTTGAGGCATTGTTGTTCGCCCCTGTGAGACAGTTTTTGCAGGTTTTTGCAACCCATGTGAGCTTGAGAGTTAATGTCACTGATAATGTCTTGGTGAGTGGGCCTTTGACAATTTACACACAGGGGCACAATTAAGCCCATGCCATTTTTGGACACCTTATTGGGTACTTAAACATTGTCTTAGAATTTGGCCCAGACATGTAGCACACCTTCTGGGAAGGGGCTTGAAAATATCCTAAATATTAATGCAAGTGATGGGAGTGAGAGCTGAAACTGCTATGGCAATAAATATAGTTATTGTTATCTCAAAGGCTAGCCTGCCTTTGCAATTTTTTGGAGCCTAAAAAAATGTAATTGTTTTAGCTGCTTTTATAATTTTTAGCTAGAGGAATTAGGATGTTTTATTAACAAAAAAAAAGCTTTTGATTATTGCTTTATTGTTTATGGGGTTGTAGGAGTCTATAGTTGTAGGGCGATTTAGCATTTGAAGTTTCTGTTTTAAATTTTAGGTTTTTCCCTCATAACCTATTTTCCCATTAAGTTATGGGAAAATTGTAGAAGCAGAAATGTAGTGGGAAAGTACCACTAATTAGCAGGTAATCGCATGGCCTTGGCCTTGGAGTCCTGGCTGTTGCTCCATGGCTGCTGTTGTAGAATAAACAATAGCTTGCTTTGAAGAATATGAATACAGTATTTTGCAAGATTATCTTTAGGAGCACCTGCCTAGCCTTGAAGTGCAGACGGAGTGACCAAATATCTGTACATGCCCCCTTAATTTTGAAAAGAAAAAAAATAGAATAGTTGCTTGTGCAGAAGCTTGAGAAGGGTTTTGAGTAAATAAAAAGGACAGCTTTTTCCTGAGCTGGTGTGAGAATGCACCAAACGTCTGTGTCTGTGTCTTTCTTTATCACCAACTCCACGTACCCTTCCCGAGCTCCAAACTCAGCTGGAGCTGGACTCCGGCAGTGCGCTAGAATCAAGACTCGAATCCCACAGTTCCAAAATGGGGTACAGGTGGTTTTTCTATCTTCTAGTAATTGTATCAGCAGTCTAGCTTTTCTGCTAAGTTTTACATTTCTACTTTCACTTTTTAAAAAAGATTTGTTTAATTAATTAATTTGAAAGAGTTACTGAGGGAATGAAGGAAAAACAGAAATCTTTTATCCGCTGGTTCACTCCCCCAAATGGTCACAATGGCCAGGGCTGGACTGAGAGCTGCTTTCATGTCTCTTCACACGCACATGTGGTGCTTTACCTGCTATACCACAGCAATGGCCCCAGCATTTTTTTTTTTAAGATTTATTTACTTATTGGAAAGGCAGATCAGCTTGACGGAGGAGAGAAAGAAAGATCTTCCACATACTGCTTTGGCTGCAATGGCCAAAGCTGAGCTGATCCAAAACCAGGAGCCAAGAGCTTCTAGTCTTCCACACAGGTACAGGGTCCCAAGGCTTTGGTCCAACCTCCACTGCTTTCTCAGGCCACAAGCAGGGAGCTGGATGGGAAGTGGAGCAGCTGGGACATAAACCAGCACCCATATGGGATCCTGGTGCTTGCAAGTTGGGGATTTAGCCATTGCACTATCGCATTGGACCCAAGCCCACTATTTTTAATATCTTAATAAGTCTCTCTTTTCTTTTTTTAGTGAAATCCCAGTCAGTAGTGCCGATTCAACAAAGCAGAAAGCACTTGGAGTTTCAAGCAAAAGAGATTTTTTGGGAGGGATGGGCTATCATGACATCGAACAATCTGGAAGAAATGGTGCTGCCTCGTCATTGGGAAGCTGCTGGTCAGCGACAGCACAGCCTTGCCATTGTTGGGCCAAGCTGCCCCTGGAGCCGATTGATAGCTCAGGAGTCCCCACTTGACTGATGCTTAGCAACCCAAAAGGGTGGGCGGACATTCCCTTTTCCCTACACCCACCAGCTCCTCCCATTAACAACCTAAACAGAAGCAGGTGCAAGTCAGTGTGGCATGTGACCAACTCCTGGCCTTGTCTTACAGAGAAGAACTTGAAAGGGTAGAAACAGAGCTTAGAATCAACAGAATCACCCACACCCCATTGTCTCATGGGTGCAGCACCATCTCAGCATCTGTCTTTGGTAAGATTTCTCTTTTTCTGTATGGGTAGTCGCTGTGTTCTCCAAGTTGTTCCACCCACTACTTTGTCCTGGTCCCTCTTCTACTTCTGAGGTCTTCCTTTGATGTTTGAAAATCCTCCTGTTTAGGAGTCAGAGGAGCTAAGCAGGAGTTCTGAGCCCATGGATGGGACTTGGAGAATATGGGCTTACTGCAGCATTGTCAGGTGAGCCTGCCGTTTCCACCTCCCTCGTTCTCTCCCCTTCCCTGTGCACCTCTGCTGGCACGGAACTGTACACTGGTGGTTTTCCTTCATGTGACACAGCTCATCCCACTGGTTTCTGAATTCTGTTTTTGTGGTTGAGAAGCTGGCTGTCAGTCCAACAGTTACTTCTTTGTAATCAGCATGTGTTTTTGAACCTGTCTTTTCTTAAGCAGCTTTCCTGGTTTTTGTCTTCTGTGAAGACTTCATGATGCTCCTAAGTGTGCATTTATTTATTTTTTTTCTTGCTTGTGTCCTTGAAAAACAGACTCTTGTTTTTTCATCAGTCTGGAAGATTCTCAATCATCGTCTCTTCTAATTTGCCTCCCTGCCTTCTCCTACTAGGACTCCCCCCTGTGTTCTCAAAGATTCTTTCCTCCTTCTCCTTTCCATCTTTGTAGGAATCACTGCTACTTTCTGAATTCATCTCTCTCTGCGCTTTCAGTTCATTGATTTCTCTCCACAGCTGTGTTTAATCTACTTTTGAACCTGTCTGGTTTCCTATCTTCACTTACTGTATTTTTAGTTTCAGAATTTCTGCTAGCTCCTCTCAAATGTTTTATACTACGCCTGACAGACCCCAGCTCCCTGTGGGGAATGGCAAACGTAGAACCAAATGAGCACAGGTGTGTGCTGGACTGTGTCAGGGCTTCACCACACAGGCTGCCTGCGGTTCTGCTTGTGTGAGTGCATGGCCCTCGCTCGTGGCTTCTCTGGTGCTTGATTCTAGCTGATGTGCATGAGACGTCGATTTGAGGAGATGATTTGACATATGCTTTGATTGTTCCTCTAGAGAGCACCGTTTTCCTCTTCTATCATCCTAATTCCATTTCAAGGCTCAAGACTTCCTGAACTCCCCTGGGGGTACAAAGCCAAGATGCTTTCTGTTCATGTCCAAGCTCCTGCTCGCTCTCCCAGCTCCACAGCCTGACAAGGTCAGCCAGCCATGGTTTCCTTGGAGGGTCTGGATGCCAACCTTCGTCTCTCTCACCAAGGGCTGCCAAAACTGGAGCCCATTTTCCAGCTACCTTTTCAGAGCTGCCGGGAATCTTCCAGAGGTAACGTCATGCCTCCTCTGCCGTTGGACCCGTCTCTAGGTCTCTGGCATTTCTCTGATGGTAACTCAGCAGTTACCAACAAGGCCTCTCTGTCTTGTTAGTAGTTTAATGTTTTTTTAACAAAGAAATATACACACATAGGTGGAGGACTTCAGACTGTGGGAAATAAGTATTATGAAAAAACTTGGCATGGATTGCAAAATTGTTGCTCCAAAATAAGCTTGTATTTTAATTCCCATG